TCAGCAACTGATTATGATTGTTTATCTGTTGCATCCGGCGGTTCGGCATGAGAAGTAAACACTTCGATCGTTCGATGGATTGGCGTGTGAATATGCTGAGCTTGTAAATCGCGTCGTCCGTTTCTAACTGCATATTCATGTAAAAAAAAAAAGTTGACGACAACCTAACCACAAACGAAGTGACAGGCGACTAACTGGCGAAGAAATCAATTAAAATAAGGTGGTTAGCTGTAATAGAATTTTATTAGAAGCTTGTGTCATCAGCAACCAGATGAGCTAGTAATTTTGTTTTGATTTGAACAAAGTTGTGTATCGTTTTGTCATTTTTTTATGCATTTCAGTTTTGAGTAGAGTGAAAGAGATAGAACCAAAACATTTTAGTACATTTGGTGAAAATGCTAGTTTAATCCAGTAGTAGTGTTGCCATGTGGTACAATCCAGTAGTAGTGGTGTTGTCATGTGGTACACTGAAAAAATGCAGTAGCAGGTTAGTCACCAAAGTTTTCGAGCCGCTCCGTCTGTCACTTCGTTTGTGGTTTGCAGTGACAGGTACTCTATTCTGTAGTCTGTGAGAAGGAAATCATAAATTGAGAGTCCTCAAAAATCATTTTTGTGCAAAACCAAAACAAAAATACTATCCCATCTGGTGGATGATGGCACAAGCTTCTAACAAAATTATATTACAGCGAACTCCATTATTTTAATTGAATTCTTCCCCAGTTAGTCGTCTGTCATTTCGTTTGTGCTGCAAACCATGTCTGGTACCTCTACACAGCAAAAAAAATGTAATATCGATCAATGTAATTCAAGCTGATATATGAGATAATGATGTAATAGCAAAAAGCAGATACAATATTACATCAATAGATGTAATTTTGTTCGCAAAATCGATGTTATATTACACAACCGATGGATTGACCTGGTTGCAGCAGTTTGGATGTAATATTCAACAACATTTTTTCTGTGTATATACGCATTTAGATTAACATCCGAAGTCCCTCTATTTTTACATATTCGGCACAAAAGATACATTTTAAGCCCCGCACCATTCAGTAAAACGGTGGAAAATCATAAAAATGGCGGTCAAAAAAATCAACGTTCTTCAATGTATCTTTTGTGCAGAATATGTAAAAAAGAAGGGACTTCTGTTAATCTAAATGCACATATGTTTTGCACAGTGGCGTCGGGTAACCTCACTTTTTACCTGTTCAATAACTTTGAAAACGTTATTTAGGGTCATGTTTACATTCAAATCAGTTTCAAAAGGCATAGCGTCTTCTAGTTTTGCTGATTTGTATCCATTGGAACCAATATTGTTTTGATTGTTTACGATTTGAGAGTTGTTGAACAGGTACATTGAGGTTAGGGCGACACCACTGGTTTCGCACTGCACTGTCCTCTGTGAACAATTAACGGAAATCATTGCGTAGTTTCCGATAGATGTCACCGCAAACAAAAGCAGTGACATCTGATGGGAAATTAATGCAGAAGCTTGAGTAAATGGTAAATTGGAAGTTCAGATGACGACTGCTTCAATTCCACTCGACTCGATAGTGGTAGGCATGGTGGGTATATACATGGTGATACTGCTTTATCACTATATAGGCGAGGAGGTCGCGGGGGGGAGGGGGGGGGGGAAGTGCGGTTTAAGAGCAAATTGTAAACAAACTCGGTCGCTGTCCCATACAAAAATCCAACATGAATCATGAATTTGACACATTAGAGCACCTATATGTAGTCACCTTGGTAGTAGGGACTGCACTCCTTATCTTATGTGAGGTGGATCCGAGGTCGGCTACGGAAACGTCTACTGTTGAACGGAAATTGTAGTGATTCTTTGCTAACGGTTTCGAGATAAAGTTCGACATAGATGATGAAGGAGGATTGAGGAGAGCTCAAACCTTGTACGTTTTGCCATAGTCGTCGACGACGTTGAGGACAACGGTTTCCAACAGAGTTTGAACTGTCACGCTGACTTTGGGAGATTGTGAGCCAGAGGAAGCTGATGACACAGTACACGGAGAAAAAATAATACCCAAAATTTAAGATCTTTTTACTTAATATTGACTTCAGCCTCTCACTTGCACTCGTTATTGTTGTCAAAAAAGGAACGAGAGATTCGACCCAACGATATAGTTCAGCCCAATAAGTTACTTCTGAGCAGGGTTGAAAAAGTCATGAAAAAATCACCAGCATTCACTATGAAATGAATTTTTCATCCATAGTGAACTTTGATGAATTTTAGTGATTTTTTCAGCCCTGCTTCTGAGTAAATAGCATATTCTCACATTTACGTGAATTAAACCTAATTTTGAGTAGAATATACTTAATAAGAGGCGTTGGAGGCGAACCAGCCCAAGGCTGAAAGCCTCCTTAATAAAGTTAAATAATAATAATTAATAAGAGGTAATTTTTTTTTGCTGGTGTTAAATGGAAACTACTATATGCGATTAACTCAAATTTGGGTTATTGGGCTGAACCCCGGAATTGAGGGAAAAGTACTTAATTGTGGATAGTTTTTCATCTCCGTGTAGGATTCGACTTCACGGAAGAACATGGAGACTCAGAACTGGATAGAATGGCAGTCGTCGCTGATAGCTTCATCGGAGTAGGATCGTGCAAGAGAGAATGATACCTGACGTAACAAATTCGACAGGTGAATTTGGAACCACAATTCTTGGATTGGTGATCAAAGCTTAGGCAGACCCAACATGGCTGCTTTCAACAATATTTACAAAGCTTATTTCGATCTTCCACATATGGATCACGTTTTATACGAAAAATATTAGGTCTGTACTTGCTTTTCTGTAAGATTATGAACAGAAAAGAGCAGAAGTATGTTCCCGTACTTGCTGCACCATATTATTTTCTTACAGCAACTTACAGAAAGCTGCAGCAATTTACAGCAAAAGCAAAAAAGCAAATACGGGAACAGACCTATATTTTTTGGGAATACGGTATACGGCCGATGAGAGTAACTCAAAATTGAAACCTGTAAGCAGGGTGCCTTCCATTAATTTTGACTAAAAAAATGTTTTATGAAATTATGGAACAGTAAGATATCGACAGTGAGCATGCATAAGGGCCTATACGCGATGATCGATTCTCTTCGTCGATTTCCTCTTTTGTTAATAACTCGCTAGATTTAACGTTTCTCGGTGCGTTTGCTGTTACTTGTGATAGCCAATACAACATGTTACTACTCTGCATTGAACAAATTCTAGAAAATTGTTTCGCTTAGCTGTAGCAATGCAAAGAGAAAATCGATGAAGAGAATCGATCATCGCGTATTCGCCCTTATGCATGCTCACTGTCGATATTATGATGATATTTTGAATGTGTAAGTAATAAGAAAAGATTGTAAAGTTTGTGTTTCACACATCAAACCTGCAAATTTAGCTTTGACAGAGTCACAATGAGCGTTTTTCTGATCGCCTCTTCGCGAAGAATGAAGAGCGAAGAGTGGGTGAGATAAATTACAAAATCGCTTATTGCGACTCTCATGGAGCAAAATTGGCAGGTTTTATGTGTCAAACACAAACTTAACAATCTTTTCTTGTTGTTTACATAATCAAAATATTTTCATAATATCTTATTATTCCATAATTTTTTAAAACATTTTTTTATTCAAAATGAGTGGAAGAGCCTGTAAGAAGTATTTTTTTTTTGTTTTGTTGGGAACATCATATCACCAACCGGTGGAAACTAACGATTTTAAATTAGCTCACTACTTGACTAGCTTATTGGTCCCAAGCAAATCGATTAACGTACCCCATTCCAGTCGAAATTCTAGTAATACACTATGTTTGTTTTGATTCGCTATGAAAGTTTGACAGATAAAATGAGGGGTTCGTGGATTTTCCTATGTTTCGAGGGGTGCATCGATTAGCTTGGGACCGAAGAGAGTACCAGAGCTGAGCCAAAAAGTTGAGGACGTTTCTTCGGGACCTTCTGGTCTAAGAGTTACCTCTATGATATCACCATAGAGGTAACTCTAAGACCAGAAGGTGCCGAATAAACGTGCTGAACTTTTTGGCTCAGCTCTGGTACTATCTTCGGTCCCAAGCTAATCGATTCACCCCTCGAAGCATAGGAAAATCCACTAACCCCTCATTTTATCTGTCAAACTTTCATAGCTAATCAAAACAAACATTGTGTAGTACTAGAATTTTGACTAGAATGGGGTTCGTTAATCGATTTGCTTGGGACCAATAGGCTACCCTAATAAAAAATAACCATAAACGAACGATAACCCAAATCATTGAATTATTCCACAAATGGTTTGGATGATACCCAGAACACGTCGTTAAGCAAATTAACCATACAATTTTTATTAGGGTAGTCAAGTAGTGAGCAAATTTAAAATCGTTAGTTTAGAATTGATTGTTGATATCACCGCGACCATTACTTTGAGATTACTTATATTAAATCCCGATCAAGAATGTCGGACTATATTAATGTCGACATCGGTGTTAATCAATAAGATACTAAACATATATTAAGCATATCCTTGTGATGAACTAGCCCTCGGCTAAACATCACTTTAATAAAGTTTAAAAAAAAAGAACCTCAAATCAGGGCCAGTATTAAAATTTAATACGAGTTGGAGCTTAACGACATCCTCAAAAATCGGTTCGAATATCAGAAAAATCGATTTAAATTTTACTCAGCTTACGAGTATATTAATAAGTAGCCTGAGTAAAGTTTACATCACCGATTTTTTAGGATAATCGTAGTAAATTTAGCTCATATACTAACTAATCCCACTTTTTGCAAATTTAAGTCGAATTCTACTAAATTTTGAATTACTATCATCGGGCGTGTAAATTCGGGAAAACATATTGGAAAACGGTACATCCCCTAATAAAAATAACCATAAAAGAGATAGCTTACCCATCCGGGATACAGTTCGTTTATTGTATTTGTTTATTAGGGAGATGTTTTGCAGGAGTTAGAGCAAAAGTCGGACAATCTGGAAATTTCTTTCTAAAATAAGTCATATAACTCATTTTCACACATTTATTGATCAAATATTGATTATTAGGTTACGTAGAATGAAAGATTCGCATGAGACATTGAAAAAATCTAGTATAGGGGAAGGTAGACAGCAGGAGCAATGAACTTTGAATTCACTCATATACCTAATGCAGTTTTTTTTTATGAATCTACGATTTTTCATATTACATATATAAAAAAACTGAGATTATGATAGTATGACAAGGTTACTTGTGTTAATTATGTCACGCTAAGCTGAGGAAAAATCCACACAGCAAAAAAAAAGTATAAATCAGATACAATATTACGTCCATGGATGTAATTTTGTTCGCATTGTATATTTACATCGTACAATGTAATGTTCAACAATTTTTTTTTTGCTGTGTACCCCTTAGTCACGTTTTTCCTATACCTAATATGCTGTCACAAAATCTTACACCCCCTCCCCCCTTATCATTAAAGCACATGCATAAGGAGTTGTTTTAAAATGCAAAACAAAGACAAGGTTTTCTTACGGCTTATGGGAAATTGTAAGACAGATTGATCAACGTTTTAGTGTCCCATTACGAACGACTCTCCCCTATTATTTTGTTCATCATTACATGTAACATAATTATACATGGTGTGGTTTCTTCGGATATGGACGGCGATAGAAACCTTTCGGTTTCTTGTCGGCTGTCCCAGACAGCTCCTCCATTTCTTGCTTAACCTTTAGTTTGTGCTTTTTGCCGTACCAATGTTGCGAGAACAACTTTTCGTCTGCCATAATTGAGTTGCATGTTTTGCAATAGTACTTACCGGAAGGCATACGATACAGTGACCAGTCATTTTGCTGGGGTTGTGGATTCGTCAATATTGCCAAAATACTTTCAGCCGAGCATCCACCTTTAGCACTAGATGGTGGAGGTAAACGACCAACGGATTTCAACTTTTTCAAATGTTTGAGACCCTTCAAATGAGTTTCCATTACTGCCGCAGAAGTGACTGCAATTTGGCACACCTTGCAGAAAACACCGCTGTTGTCAACGCAATCGGCACTTTCCTTCTTCCGCACCTCGGATTCGACTGTTTTAACTGGTTGTGGTTTTGGAACAAGCACAGGCGTAGCAAAAGTTTTCTGTACCGGTTTTGGAAAAACTGGTTGCGGAAACGTTGGCGTTATCGATGCAGTTGCTGGAACAACTGTAGGGCCTGGGTTCGTCACAGGAGCATAGCTTGTTTCACCGAGAAGTTCCTTCGGTGGAGATGGTGGAGGCTCTAAGCGCATTCGTTTCGCATCCTTAGGGCTGTAGTGGGATTTCTTCACAAACGTCTGACCGATGCCGAAACGTTCTGGATTTTCGTCAGGAGCTAGGTTACTGTGGTTTGGAAAGAAAAAATCATAATATTACAATGATATCCAAAATATTGATATACATCTCAACAGCTCTATTGATTTGGAAAGCTAAAATAATGGTTCGTAATACAATACCACCTCACAAGATGCACCAAGAGAAAAAGACAAATCAATAACTGTTACAAGTTGCATATCAATATTCCAACACAGAAATTGATGTCCAAAGAAACATTCGGAATTCGGCTCCTTTGTAGTCAATCCGCATTAGTTGAGTGTTTAACTTTACCAATTACTCTGACGTTCCATCTTCAACCATTCGCCAGTTTGAAGCAGTAAGTTATTTGTGCAACCACGCTGAAAATCAGGATGGGAAATAGTGTAAGAAAAACACCTTCCGACAAAAGCGGAGCATGAAGCCATTACCAAACCAGCCATCACCACATTGGCCGTAGGTCGTATTTTTTGTTCCCTAGCTTCGATCGTTGAAAAGTAATCTAGAGTGATCGAACAGCTATTGTTCAAACAAAAATTTACGAGAACCTCGTTTTGGCTTCTGCTGAAGGTACCCCTGGATTGATGGTACATTTTATTCCGTGTTCTCTTTGATGAGCAACTCGCGTAACATGAGAATGATGATGATGATGATCGGTTCTCTTTTTCGATGTTCTCTTTTGATAATAAAACTGCTGCTTAGTCTGTTGTTAAAAAAAATGACCAGACTAGGGGATTTATTACAACATGTTTTAAGGCTTCTTGATAACATTTTTTATATTAATAATAACTTTAACATGTTACAAAGGCCTTAGTGTGAATAAGACATTGAGTTGATGCAGATATTAAAACTTGCATGAAAGTTGCTTTATTAAAGAGAGTAGTAAATAGAATGTCGGTGAAGAGAATCGATCATCGAAAATAGGCCCTCGTTCACATGTTACGCGAGAGTTATCTTCCAATAACTGATATACTTACCAGCATAGTGAATCATCAAAACTGTAGTTTCTAATAAAATGTATCGCTTAACCCAGGAGTGAACCCCTTTATCAATTGTGCATGGTTCAGATTCATCAAAATTGTATTCAATAGATTCGATACAGACTATTTTCCAGGATGCATTTGAGAGTAAATTGGAAGCCAGAGTGACCACTCATATTAGGTTGTTTTTAAATAGGTTGTTGTGTTCATGTTTTGGATTTAAATGATTGCATTTTTTTTCATTGCAGATATTTTATGTTTCTTATACAAAAAACACAGACATACACATACACTTACACCAATGTGTTAATCAGCGATCTCTGATAGCGCGGTGTTATGTATTTCGTATAGTCACTTCAACACTCTTGGGTCATTCGTGACTTGTTCGGGGATGAGATTTGAACTCGTGACTTTGGCGTGAGAGGTATCGATGTTAACCACTGCGCCGGGGCCGTTCCAAAGCGCGATGTCAAAATTCCAGTTTAACTGGATGCTTCTAGTTATTCACGTAGCCAGCTAAAAACAGGCAAAGTTTAGAATCTTGCAGCTTTTAAGAAATTCATTCCAGTTTTTTTCCAGCCTAAGGCCTAGGGTTTTTTCCATATTTTTTATTATTATTTTGTAGGATATCGATATGCCATAGAAGCTGTGCAGCTTATTTGGCAAAACTTGACCCGTTTACATACATTTTGCTTCTATAGTTTAAGAAGACTAGACCAGATCAACGTGCACCAACTTACGAACAACTATAGCCTCAGACTCATCAATTTCGCCGTCTCCAAGACCGGGCAAGAGGACACCCTAACGAAACTTGAATAAAATACCAATATTTTGACCAGAAAATAATTCCCTCAATAATCTTACAGAAGCTTCAAAGATGACCTGTGAAATCCCGGTTGTTAATATTCAACAAAAAAACGATATTGAACGCAATTTAAGGAACGTGCTCAAAGGATAAAAAATGTGATTTAAGAAGGTTCCCAAGATTCGGGGGCTTTAAAATTTTAGTAGTGTCTGAAACTAGAACTTTTTTTCAAAATTTGTTATTAATAACCATCTTTGTGATGTAAGATTTGGAGTAAAAATAATTAAAATTGTGAGATTTTGAAAAAATTTCAAGATCACAGAATTGAAAAAATATATATAGGGGACGACGGGGTCATTTCGCCAATGGGGCGGAATGGCCAACGCTGTGTTTTCAATGATAATTGTGGTTTAAAGTTAAATTAGTAGCTAAAACTAGGTGATCCTTCGCTGATAATGCAAAATAAGCAAAAGACAAATTTAAATCTATTTTATGTGCGGAAAAATCAATCGAAGTACAAGTTGCGAAAATGTGAAAAAAAAAATTATAAGAAAAGCGGTGTCAAAAATAAGGATTTGGTCATCTCCTGCGTCATTTATTTAATTTTGTGGTGTAAGACAATATTGCTGATTGGTTTCGTGAACGTTTAGTATTTTAATTTATTATATAATATCGCTTATTTGAACAAATTCTAATAAACAAATTCCGCTCTCTCATCGGGGCGGAATGAGCACCACTATGCGGGGTGACGTGGGCATATAAAAATGAGCCATAACTTATAATTTCAGTATTGTTTACTTCTGCACTCGCGGACACCGCTTCATATTTTCGGAGGATTAAATCGCAAATTGAACGGTAAACATGGTTCGGTGTTATAAAAGTACCAGTAAAAAGAAACAATGGTCGTCTTCAAACCTTTTCGCCGCGATAGAAGCAGTGAATCGTCACGGATTATCAAAAAACAGAGCAGCAATAGAACATGGTGTTCCACGACAAACCCTGAACCGATATTTGAACCTTCCGGAACAGAACGTATGCGAATTGATGATGCTGGACAACACCATGTTTTCCCGACAGCAAGAAGAAGAACTTGTGCAGTACATAGTGGACATGGACAAACGCCTATATGGCCTTACTCTTGGGGATATAAGAAGCGTCGCGTATCATCTGGCGGAACGAAATAAAATCGCACACAAATTCAATAAGAAAACACAATTGGCAGGATACGACTGGGTTGGCGGCTTCCGGAAACGGCACCCTCAACTTACTTTGCGGACGCCAGAACGAACGTCGATTGCTAGAGCACAAGCATTCAACAAAGTGGCTGTGAATGGATTTTACGATATTCTGGAGAAGATCTTCGATAACACTGTGTTCCCTGCCAGCAGAACATACAACGTGGACGAGACGTCGATTGTTACGGTATTGAGTATGAACGTTTTCAAAAGCCAAATCTTATGAGTTTTACCTACTTTTATTACATTTTTAGGTCCAAACAAAAACATCAAAGGTCGTATCTTTGAGAGGAAAGCGTCAGGTAGGATGCATTGCTTCTGCAGACAGAGGAGTCCTGACTACAGCTTGCATATGTATGTCTGCTGTGGGACACTTTATCCCACCCATGTTATTATTCCCGCGGGCACGACTGACAGAACAGCTACAAAAGGGAGCGCCACCGGAAACGTTATTCAGTTGTAACACGTCGGGTTGGATGACAATTGCCGATTTTTCAGCATGGTTCGAACACTTCTTGGCACATACAAGGCCTACAAAGGAGAGCCCGGTACTGCTTCTACTGGACGGACATGCTTCGCATACAAAAAATCTAGATTTTCTGGATAATACCAAGCGTTCTTATGTTACGGTGATTTCCCTACCTCCACACTGTAGTCACAAACTGCAGCCTCTTGATGTCAGCTTCATGGGGCCTCTTAAAACTAACTTGTCGCAAGTTATTGAGGCATACTTAAAGAAGAATCCTGGCAAGGTCATCACACTGAATGAAATAAGTGCACTTTTCGGAAAAGCTTATCTTCGCTCTTTGACAGCCTCTGTTGCAGTAAATGGATTCCGCAAAACTGGCATCGTACCGTTCAACAGGTCAGTATTCACCGATGATGACTTTGTGCCAGCGGATGTATCGGACATACCCTTCGCATCAGCGGATGTATCGGACATACCCTCAAATAACGAAACTGAAAAAGCATCGAGAAACGATAACCAGTCAGACGACGAAGATGAACCGCCATTTCTAGGTTTCGACGACGTAGGCCGTGTTTTTGCAAGCAACGCAGCTGTTGAGGAGAGAAGAGATGTTTCAACCAAATCTTTGAATGGGTTAAACAAATCGTTTTCCATAGGCCCATTAGAAATCCGGCCTTTACCTAAAATCGCGCTGAAGGAACGAAAGAGAGGAAGAAGAAAAATTTGCTGAATTGACATCTAGACCACATCGAAACGCGCTGAAGTTATTGCAAGCTACCAAGGAAATAAACCAACTGAAAGCAACAGAAAAAGTATGTGGAAAGCGTCCTCAAGGCAAACCTATAACACGAAGAAGACAGAAGGAGAACAGGGATGTACGGGACATACTATGCGAGAGTTGCGGCATCTGTTTCAGCTCATCAGGAGATGGAAATGGTTGGGAGAAATGCATCAAATGCCACATGTGGTTCCACAAGTCTTGTGCAAAGACTTGTATTAGTTGTTCTTCGTAATAACTATGAATTAATTGTTTGTTAACTCATGTTAAGCAGAATTATTATCGCTTTTGTTCTTTGATTATAACCTGTTATGTTTGAATTTCTGAAACTGGTTACTAAATGTCATCAAAATGTTGATTGAATAAAACCATTTGTATTGATATGCACAGTTCAATGATTTAGCTATACCACAAAAACATCTATGGAGTAATTTCATTTATTAAAAAAAATCTCTAGTACATAATATCAACTGCTCATATTACCCCGATAGGGTGCTCATATTACCTCAACAGTATTTGGCAGGCTACAAATCCAACATTTTTTAATGCTAGTAAAAATGTATCAAAATGTTATTTTAAAGAGCTTTTGCTAATGGGACATAAACTCTAACACTGTAAATCAATGATTTCTTTGAAAACGATATTTTATTTGCTGCTTTACGTTATGTTATGGAGCATTTTTCTTAAGGTGGCCAAACTGCCCCACTTTCCCCTATATCATACTTATGATATCGTGGAGTCATAATGGTCACGCTCTGAGACT